CGCCGGAGGTTCCGCCTGCGGAGGCCGGAGATCCCGTCCGGCGTCTCTCGGACCGGCTGGAGACCTGGAGTCGATGCTGGCGCGGGTGGAGGAAACCAACAAGGCCCAGTACCAGCTGTTGGAAACCCTCTATGCCCGCCTCCCCCAGGTCATCCATTCGCTCAGCCGCCAGTCACTCTCCTTCCTCCCTCTAGGGTTTTCACTCATCTTTTTGTGATTGAAAGCGGAGGCGAGCAGGGAGAGGTGGAAGACGGCCTACACGGAGCTTCCTCCCGGTGCCAATCCCAAGCTCGCCGGTAATCTCTCCTCTCCCTCTCCAAATTTGAGTCCTTTCCGTCACTTGTTTGGAATGCTTTAATTTGGGTGAAAGAAAAAATTGGCATCATTTCCCCCTTTTGGCTCGATCCCTTTGAGCTAATTTAGGTTTATGATGTGCTCAATAATAAAAAAACTCGGTTGTCCATTTGGAAATTTTAACACTATTTCGGTGGAACTAATTATGCTGCTACTACTGATAATCATTGCCTTTGTGTCTGATGCAGAACTTAAAAAAAGAGTGACCCGGCGGCCGATAACTCTCAACTGAAGGTACTTATACTTACTGAAACATCAGTTCCGTAAGACCATAATAACTCAGAAAGCATTACTTCCAGCTTGTGCGTCTCACGATTTTCGTTATCATTGATTTGTATCCATGGTTGTTTTCTTACTAATGCCGCCTAAGAAAGGTTACTGGATACAACAACAAACAATTAGGAAGTAGGTTTGATTTTTATGATAGGTTATGTCCATATAGGATAAATGGATACTCTGCTTCTGGGGAGTGCTTATAGACCAGAATCTGTTTCGTAACAGGACAATAGTGAGGATACCAATGAGATGCATCTTGAACAGTACATGTTGTCGAGTCTCTGTTTCACTTGCCTTTTCTCATGCCCTGCTCCATCTTTGCCCGATGCATTTGTGTTACTTGTTTCCTCAAGATCTCGATGATTTTGTTGGTTCGCTTGCAGTAAACAATTTTGCAGTGTCATATTTTCTAGAAATCGAGTGGATCGAAGCATCCATATTCCTTATAAGATAGTTGTTTCTTTCACTTTTTGTCATCCGAGTGGATCCAACATTGCCGACAGACTCCCTGATGAATTGACCTTGCACACAAGGAGGGGTGATGCACATCATATACTAGTTAGATGGCGAATATCAAACATGTTCTTGTTGGTTCATATTTTTAAAATGGGAAGGGCTAATCTGTAGGATTCTCTAGTAGTATGTCTTTTATCACAATAACTGTCAACTTTGTGTAAGATACTTGATTTTCTCAAAAAAATTGTTCTACATCTTTGAAGTACTGACAACATAGGCCAAACAATCCTGATGCTTATATTTGGAGTTAATTTACTAGTCCTTCTGATACTAACAAGATGTATTACCCCGTGCACCACCAACTATTATCACTGTGGAATGTGATGATTTATTGCGGTTAATGTGCAGATTTCTGTTTTTAGTTCTACTATCTGTTGAAATTTGTACTGTTCATTTCATTTACCGTTTTGTGTATTTAATGAAAGCCTTTTTGTCTAAGATGCTAATATGTTTTGTGCGCTCGTTCAACAGATGGAGATCTTTGTAAAGATCCAGTCTACAAATCTTCGCATAAAAAGAAAGATTCACTGTTTAAAGACAGTCAGTCCATAGGTCAAGGGATCAGATACGGTCTGGGATGTCAAGGATAAGATTCGAGACAAGGAGGGCATCCCTGTAGGCCAGCAGAGATTCATATTTGGCAGTAAGCTGCTGGTGGGCAGCTGCACCCTGGAGGACTACAGCATCGAGGAGGAGTCCACCCTCACCCTTGATCTTGTGCCCCGAGGGATGCATATCTTTGTCAGGCCACTAACTGACAGGATCATGACTATTGAGGTTGACAGAGAGGATACCATAAGCAGTGTGAAGGCAATCTCACTATCACCTTTTATCCCAAACAAGTTGGGGTAGGCTAGATATGAAACCCTTTCACGAGGACTTCCCAGGAGGTCACCCATCCTAGTACTACTCTCGCCCAAATGGGTTTCATACCCAAAAGACTGGCTAGTTTTTACGTTGGCTCGCCAAGCCTATCACAACCCTTAGATATGAAACCCTTTCACGAGGACTTCCTAGGAGGTCACCCATCCTAGTACTATTCTCGCTCAAATGGGTTTCATACCTATGGGACTGGCTAGTTTTTACGTTGGCTCGCCAAGCCTATCACAACCCTCCTCCTTTACCCGGGCTTGGGACCGGCTATGCCTAGAAGACATAGGCGGAGTTAAGCAGTGTGAAGGCAATGATTTTCGAAAAAAACGGCATTCCCCCACGCAGACAGCGTCTCTGCTTTGCAGGGAAGCAGCTGGAGGATGGCCGCACCTTGGCTGACTACGACGTGTACAATGAATCTACCCTTTTTCTTGTTGTGCGCCTCCTCAAGTGTTAGGGAGGTCGGATGAATGTCATGGTCAAGACACCGAATGACAAGATAATGACTACTGAGGTTGAGGGAGAAGATAGCATATACGGTGTGAAGGTAAAGATTTTCAATGAAACTGGTGTTCCCCCAGGCAGACAATGTCTCATCTATGCTGGGAACGTAATGGAGGATGGCCGCACCTTGGTTGACTATGACGTGCCCAATGAGTCTACCATTTATCTTGTGTCGCGCCACATGCGCATCTCTGTCAGGACGGTTAGCTGGATGAAAATCATTGAGCATGCGTTTATGCAATCACAGACCATTGACGACATCAAAGCGTGGATTTACTGTGAGATGGGCATTCCCCCGGAGCAGCAACAGCTCTCTGACCCGGGGGGCGCCCCCCTGGCTGAAGAGATCTTGTATTCATGCACCCTTGTCCTGCAGATCCGTCCTCCCGGTTTTCAGTGAGATGGAGAAAATTTGGTCTTTGACTGATGGTGATATTAGTGAGAGGTCAGAATCGGTACGGGTTGAACTTGAATTGCTTGTTTAGCATGTGTGGGGTCATTTTGGTACAATGCAGGATGTAAAATGGGCAAATTATTGTAGTTTCTGGGCTGGTAACATCTTGTATGCGAGTACTTGATAATTCCAGTGAGAGACATTAAGGTGCCGTTATATGAATCGTTAAGGTGTCGCTAGCCTAATATGTTATGTTGAGTTTGGTGTTTTTAAGAGAGTGATATATATGTTCCCTTGATGGCAATCCTACGTTGTCTAAGTCACACTAGGAAAGAAGAATCTAACTAACTGTTTATGAGCACTAAGTTGTGCTTTTATTTTTTTGATATCTCAGCGGGTAATTAAGTTAGTAAAAGGTGAATCCATCCAAAAAAAATTGGGATCAAATTGTATATTTCAGACATAAGGAATTAGCTTAGAGTCACCCAATCAAGGAGTGGGTTTCCTCTCACAACTTCACAGTGAGTTCCATCTCCTACCTGTCATAAAACAAGCTGACGCTGAGAGCTTCACAGTGAAGTTTTGGTTCCGGTTCGATTCTTGCCGCCGTTTTGCGCACGATTAGCTCAGCTCGGGTTTCCATCAGGTAAGTTTTTGCTACATTTTGTTTCTGTTCCATTTCAGAATCCCTAAACCCAGTTTCAGAGCAAAGAATGATGATGGAAACGACGATAAGAGATATTGACAGAAGTAGTTAATTGCTCTGAAAAGTGGTTTCGTTTCTGTGTAACTTCAGTTGAGTAAATTAACTTGGTTGTGAAATCATTCATACCCTTATAATCCGTGGTGGTTACTTTCCTGGGACTGAAAACATTTTCTCCGAAATTTGATGATTCGGTCATACCTTCAGCTGAGTAAACAATTGCTCTGAAAACTGGGATCTCTCATCTTAGTTACCTACTTACCCTTTCCTACTGCATTACAAACCAGAATCCCAAGCTAGGCTCCCAGAATGGTGATGATTAATTAGCTAAAATCAGGAGACACCATATATATAGTCCAACTCTGAAACTGAAACTCTGCCCGTTGCTGTATCCGACAGCAAAAACGCAATGTACAGCAAGCACAATGCTCGATTGGGTCGCAACTGCTTCCATCTCAGTATGATTCATCTGTGTGTCTGCCTTGTGAAATCGATGTAGATGTGGGCAACCAGCAGACGTTGAAATCGATGTATCTCGATTGGGTTGGTCCGTAGATTTTTGAGCTGTTGAAAGGAAGGGATACTGAAATGGAACCTGAATTCGTTAGTCGTTCAGAGTGCTCGCAATACCCACCTGACGCTGTTTGCATGTCCAGAACTGTCCACCTCGCACGGATGTGTTAGACTATTACTTGGCTCTCAAGTTATCTAGTCCTAGTCGTATTAATAGGTCTAGTTGGCTTGTAATCTCTTATATATACCGATGTATGCGGCTGCAATAATCAATCAACAATATTCTATTCAATCTTACATGGTATCTTACGGTTTCTGGTCCTAGGGTATGGCTCCGCTGCCCACCCCACCACCGATGCCGCTGCCCGGCTACTTCGAGCGCCGGGCCGCTACCCTCGCCCGCGCCGCCGCCGCGACTTCCTCGGGCTACCACCACCATCACCTATGCCTCCGGTGCTCTCCTTCACCGATACAATTTTCGATATTAGTTCCTATATCCCCATTACCCTCGATCTCACCTCCCACAACTATTACCATTGGCGCCACCTCTTCGAAGTTCACCTCGGGCGCTGCAATCTTCGCTCCCACTCGACGCCACCGCCGTGCCGCAATCCCATGATCTCCAATGGGTCAAGGATGACCTCGCTATCATCCAATGAATCTACATGCGCGTCTCCACCAAGATCTTCAATCTCGTCTTCCGGGAAGCCGCCACCGCCGCCGGTCTCTGGGCGGCCCTTCAGCAGTTGTTCCAAGACAACATCAATGCTCGCACCAATCTACTCCACACCGAGCTCAGGAATACGGTGCAAGGCGACTCCTCCCTCAGTGTCTACTGCCAACGCCTCAGGTCCATCGCCGACGAACTACGTGAACTTGGTGATCCCGTTGAAGACCTGCAGCTTATCAACATCCTCCTCATCGGGCTCAGCGAACAGTTCGATAAGCAGGCTTCTTTCATAACCATGATGCGGCCCCAGCCAACCTTTGCCGAGGTGCGCTCCATCCTCCAGTGGGCCGATCGTGCTCAAACCAACAAGGACGCTCGCCCTCAGCTCTTCGCCGCCGTTCCGCGCGGTCCGGCACCCACGGCGCCACCCGCGGCGCCCCCTTCACCAGCGGTGCCTTCCTCCTCGACCGCGCCCGCTCTACCGCCAGGCTGGCGTCCCGGCCCTAATTATCCCGGCAAGAACCCCATCTACCGACCGCCTACGACGCGCTTGGTGCCCACTCCTTCACCGTCGTCGGCCCCAAGTGCGCCACCAGCAGCTACGCCTTGGCGTCCTCCACATGATCCCTGGATGGGGCTCGTCCAAGCTTGGCCCATGCCATGGTCCGCTCCGGCTCCCCTCGGTGCTCCACCGGCTTACACCGGTGCCTGGCAGCCCGGCGTGCGGCCCCATACTCGTGCCCCAGGACTCCTCATGCCTCGCCCGCCGACTCACGCCTACCATGCTGCTCCATCATATGGCGCTCCCTACTACGCTGACAGCGGCCACTACTACACCCCACCGTCGACCCTACTGCCATCGATGTCGTACCAGCCGACCCTGCTTCCATCGCCTCCACCGTTGGCTCTACTACCCTCGCCGTCGTACCAGCCGGCCCTACTGCCAACACCGACATCTGCTACACCGCCAAGCTGGGACCAAGCCGCCTTCATCCAGGCCATGACCAATTTTGCCTCCCAAGGCAACACAGGTACGGATTGGATTTTTGATTCTGGTGCTTCTAGTCATATGTCTGCATCTAGTACGTTTCTCTCCTCTTACACTTCACCACTTTTTAAATCCATCACCCTCGGTGACGGTTCTTCTATACCCATCTATTGTGTTGGTCAGGATCAACTTCCCTCCACCACCAAAACTCTTCTTCTTCGTGATGTACTTCGTTCTCCCTATTCGCTTTATACAATGTGATAATGGTCGTGAATTTGATAATGTTAAAAATCATACCTTATTTCTTAACCACGGCGTTCTTCTCCGTTTTTCTTGTCCCTACACTTCTCCTCAAAACAACAAAGCTGAAGGTTCTCTTCGTACTATAAATGATATTATCCGTACCCTTCTTCTTCAATCTTCCATGCCTTACCAATACTGGGCTGAGGCTCTCCACGCCGCTACGTATCTTCTCAATATCCGTCCTACCAAAGCCAAACCCAACATCACCCCCTACTTTTCTCTGTTTTTGTGTCACCCAAACTACTCCGACATTCGTGTTTTTGGTTGCCTCTGTTTTCCTAACACTTCCGCTACCACCGCTCATAAGCTTTCTCCCCGCTCTCTCCCGTGTGTTCTCCTCGGTTTTTCGGATGAACACAAAGGCTATCGCTTCCTTGACTTATACACCGGTCGGGTTCTTGTATCTCAGCATGTCACCTTTGCCGAACACATCTTTCCATTTGCTCAACGTACTTCTCCATCACACCCCACTACTTCTCCACCTAACCACCCTCCTACTCGTTTCCCTTTTTATGCTCCTCTCCTGACATCTCAATCTCCAAATACCTCTTCACCACCATCCCAACCAAATGCCCCTACACCACCGACACCCAATCATAACCCTCCACCTTCGCCACCTGCATCATCGCCCATACATACCGATGCGCCACCATCCCCTCCCGCACCATCCCCCACACATGTTGATGCGCCACCATCCCCCCCCCCAGCACCATCACCCACACATACTGATTCATCACCATCCCCTCCATTGTTCGCATCATCCACTGCACCGGACATCCTGTTGCTCCCCTTCCCATTCGCGTTGTTCCCACTATTCACTCAGTCAATGACCATTCTATGCGCACTCGTTCCAAATCAGGTTCTCGTCAACCCATAGATCGTCTCAACCTTCACGCCACCCTGTCCTTGTCTCAACTTCCCAAATCTTACAAAAATGCGCTTCTTGATCCTAATTGGGTTGCAGCTATGCAAGAAGAATATTCGGCCCTTATTGAAAATAATACTTGGCAGCTTGTTCCTCATCCTTCCAATACCAACATTGTCTCTGGTAAGTGGGTATTTCGTCAGAAGTTTCACTCCGATGGTACTCTTTCTCGCTACAAAGCACGTTGGGTATGTCGCGGCTATTCCCAACAACATGGCATTGATTACGATGAAACTTTCTCTCCTGTAGTTAAGCCTAGTACCATACGCACTGTTCTCAACCTTGTTGTCTCCTCCGCCTAGCCTATTCACCAATTAGACGTAAAAAATGCCTTCCTTCATGGTTCTCTCCAAGAGACCGTCTACTGTCAGCAACCTCTCGGTTTTGAAGACCCTTCTTATCCAAACCATGTTTGTCTTCTTCAAAAATCTCTCTACGGTCTCAAACAAGCTCCATGTGCATGGTTTCAATGCTTCTCTTCCTTTATTCAAACCATAGGTTCTGTTTCCTCTCTTTCTGACGCTTCTCTCTTTGTCTATCATCATAATGCTGACATTGCATACTTACTTCTTGACGTTGACGATATCATTCTCACTACTTCTTCCCAAACCTTTTTGGACCGCATCATTACTCATCTCCGCTCTGAGTTTTCTAAGATAGATCTTGGTCTTCTTCATCATTTTTTAGGCATTGCAGTGATTCGTGATTCATCGGGTATGTTTCTTTCCCAAGGTCAATACATCCTAGATCTTCTCAACCGTGCTGGTATGCTAGACTGTCATCCTTCCCATACTCCTGTCGACACTAGTTTCAAACTTTCTGCCAATGGTGATCCTTTCAATGATCCTACTCTTTATCGTAGTCTTGCTAGTGCTCTTCAGTATCTTACCATTACTCGTCCTGA